GAAATGCGTTATGCACCACCCCCGCCGGCTGTCCGGCGGGGCTATATATATATATATATATATATATATATATATATATATATATATATATATATATATATATATATATATATATATATATATATATATATATATATATATATATATATATATATATATATATATATATATATATATATATATATATATATATATATATATATATATATATATATATATATATATATATATATATATATATATATATATATATATATATATATATATATATATATATAGCTATATATATATATATATATATATATGGGTCTCGCATCTATTAAAAAACCCTCTCTTTATAGTTCCATAGTGCAAGATGTGGAAGAGCTCCGCTACTTCCAGGACTCCCCACGTGCACCATTCGGTGCTGATCTTCTATTTCTGACTATATTATAAAAGTTTTCAATATCTGACACCTGATAATGATATAATTAAAGATTTAGATTTAGAGAATGATTGATTTTTTATCTGAACTCGACTAAATTAAAGATTATTATTATATTAACAGGATGCGAAACTGTGGACGAATTCTTTCGAAAAAATGTCAATCACATAGTTCCGATAGTGCTGCGCACTTCGGGCCTCGCCGAAGCCATATCTTTCTGCACTGATTGCGCCGGTGTTGCCTTCGAGAAAGTCTTCGAAGATGTTTTCCCGTCTTGCTTAGCGTGGTTGATATCGCGCGTCATTATATCTAACGATGCTGACGAGACAATGCGAAAGCTGACGAAGAACACGGACGAATTCGCGCGTACGCGCGATTTCAGTCGATTATTTTATTCTCGTCTGCAGGACGTTTTGGTGGAGCTAATACGGAGGTTGCATGACGAGGATGACTTTGAGCGTGTTTTTTCAATATCGGACATGCATTTCCCGGCGATGGATCCGCCGCATTTTGCGCGAGCCACATTGGATCTGTGCTTCGATTACCTGGAGTCGTCCGGTTTTCTGGCAGCGTCGGGAGAAACGCTGACGCGCACGCTAGTCGAGCAGCAACCAGCGACGCTACAGAGGATGCTGTTACATTTCGCGAGCGCCGTACATTCATCGCGTTCCCGCGAAGATAAACTAAAACGGTTGTATCAGTACGCGTACCTCTGCTTGCGGCTGACACGCGACTTGGCAGAACCCGTCTTTGATGAGATGGCCTCGTTTTTTATCCGGGACGTGTGCTATAGCCTGCTGCATATGACCAGAGGAAACGACGACGAGACGCTTACCATGGCATGCTGCAAGTTTGTGGATATTTTCCTGAGACAGGCGCTACCTGTGAGAGCCGCGGAGGTGCGGGACGTTCTCAGATTCGTTGTAGCAAATTTGATCGACTTGGCGCAATCAAACACGAGCATCATCAATCGAGTCGCTGCGAATCTACTCAGGTTTCTTGTGGTGGAGCAAAAAGACGTTCTGCGGGAAGCTATCGCGAAGCTCAGTTCATTCCCGAACCACAGAATTTTTCGGGATGTGAGGGAAGCTCGCAATGCCGTCAGATCAGAAAAGAACAGAACTGCGCTGTGTTTCGAAGACGAATTGGCGCGTTTCCTAGACGCTATAAGCGAGGAGAACGCCGAGTGCACACTGGAGGATCTCGCGAATCTCACGCAGCAACTGTCAACAAGGAAATCGGAGTTGAGAGAGCTGCATCGGAAGTTGGAAAGGCCATATCCTGAGGACGGCGCCAGTATCCTGCACCGACTAATATTCAAGTAAGTAGGCGCTTCACTCGAACTATCCATCTTTTTTCTTTAATGTGCTAACTGATTCTCTTTCTAACTATCTGCGGTCTACAAAATATCCTCGAAAATGCATTCCTCAGACTCGCCAAGCTGACAGAATCGTCTAATCCGCGTGTATCGATGGAAGTCACGAAATGTCTCGGCGAACTGGGTCCGACGGATTCCACTGTGGCTCTGCGACCAGCGGGAAGTCTCGTCCAAGAAGCAAACTATGCGATAGACATCCTGACCTATCGGTCGGTCGCGATGTTAACGAATTTTCTCGTGGAAAACACGGTGGAACTTCGCAAGGTTTTTATATCTTTATCTTGGAGTTACCATTCCATGTTATCTTAGGCTGTTAGGTCTAATGTTTTATCATTTTAATTTTTTCTTTTAAATTTATAATAAGGATCCTTTAAAGAAAATACGCTGAAATTTGAAATAAATTTTAATTCAAGGTTAGTGCCGACGCACTTTATGCGGTGCTATCGACTTCCTTCGGTCGTAAACTGTCGGACTCCGAGTACACGAAGAACTTGTCGAACATCCTCGAAGGGTCCGTGTCTCTGAAGATTGATTACATCCGACCGTTCGCTCACGGACGTTGCGTAACACAGACTTCCTTTGGCGTGAACGCTGCGAGATTTCGTAGCATTATGAACCCGGAAAACCCATTGTGGACCGTTCAGGACAACGAGAATTATGCTGAATGGATCGTCAAGTTAACCTGTGGCATCGCCGAATGCTTCACCGACTCTTATCTAGAGAGCTTCCTGCCGGTCTGCCAGCTCAGTATCAAGTTTTGCGAACTGATCCTGCCGAGAATCGTATATCTTGTCATTCATCGAAACGGCAACTTCATCGGTGCCATGTGTGACTGCGTCAATCAGTTCTTCAGGTATTATCGCCAGCGACATAAATTAAATTCAATACCGATTGAAATTGATTGTTAAATCCAACTAATTGCTAGGCAACACTTTGCGATCAACCACGAGGTAGAGACTGTTGCGTCGTCGACGCCGAGAAGCGGTGATTGCGACCAAAAAATCGTACGCTGCATGCTGGCCGTGGTGAATCATGTGCGGGCGCAGCTACCAGACGGCGCGAACTTGACACTCGACTACATCAACTTGGCCAGAGCTGCGCACAAATGCTCCGCGTACTATACGGCTTTACTGTTCGCGCAGCTCGCCTGCGAGTCGATCTCGTCGGACTATCCGGATTTCAGCAGCGATCCTAGGATCGATTACATCTATGAACGCCAACCGGCAGTCGGCCGGGTACTGCAAGACATCATGCTGGACACCTACCTGAATATCAGCAATCCGGACGCCATGAGTGGCGCCGGATCATCGCATCTGCTCAATCAAGACTCCCGAGTGCAATACTACGCTCGTACCAATTGTTGGGACAAGGTCATGCTCGCACAGGACATTGAGCTATCGCACAACGGCAATCACTTATCGCTGACGAATACCAGAATGGAAATGGCGAACGCGTTACACCGCTCGGGATTGCAGTTTCTCCAATGGCAGTTTCTGGGCAATTGTCTAGATGAAAAGTTTAGGTGAGATTATATCTAATAATTATATAAAAATTCCGATGAAAGAGGAAATGCGGTTATATTCTGCAAATATGTAACAAAAATATATTTAATAGTTACGAGTGCGCCTGGAGACTCGGCAACTGGGATCTGCTGGTAGACGATTCCGTTGCCGCCACTAGTCAAAACTATTTTCAACCGCAGCGATTTGAGTCCCTCGAGAACACGTTTCACGTGCACCATTACGATGCGCTGAAATGCCTCCATGAAAATGACCGACGAGGCACGGAACGGGCGATCGAACGCGCTCGCGTAAGTGTGATCCGCGGACTGCGAGTGATCAGTCTAGACAGTAGCCGAATCGTCAACGAGAAACTATCGCAGCTGCGGCTATTGCGCGAAATCGAACAGCTGAATTCAGCGACCGACTCGTCGCAGGAGGGGTATTCAAAGGTATTGCAACGATGGAACGAACACGAGATTAACCTGACGGGTCAATTCGACTACGTGGAACCAATCTTATGGCAGCGTATCATCATGTTCCGCATCCGAGAATCTCTGTGGATGGACACGAACATACGAGAGGCGTTCTTTGCCACTTGCCTGGGCTTGGCGGAGGTCGCAGTGGGTCAGGGCAACTTTCAAGTGGCCGCCCGAGCACTGGGCACACTAACGACCCAGCGAAATCTTTCTATGGATTTAGAGAACCAACATCTCTATCAGGAATCGCTCCTGGCGTGGATGAAACACGACCAGGTCATTGCGCGCCGTCTGCTGCGTAACTTGATCGAGAAGAAGAATCCGAAGCCGAGTCTGAGAGCCAAAGCTCTGCGAATTTATGGCGACTGGATGGCTGAGACTAAGTCGGAGAATCCGCAGGCGGTAATACAGAAATATTATCTGGAGTCCATCGAGATCAGCGAAGCTATCGATGAGCAAACGCCTGATGTCGTTAGAGATCTATATGACACGCAGGTAAGCTAGTGTATACAAAAAATTATTTTTTAACCAGCTTTTTGGTTGATTAAATTAATTAAATACTACATACTTTATATATACACCTTTCATCATCTGTCTCAGGTTGCGCTGGCGCGCTTTGCCGACGCGCAGTATGAGCAGATCAGTGCGTACATGAACTCTCCGATATACGAGTCATTGAAGGAATACGCTCGCAGCAATGATCTAAGGAGCCAAGTTTTAGATCAGGCGCAAATAAAAAATCAGGATATCAAACGTGCCGTGATAATCAGCCAGAAGCAATCGACGAATGACGCGGCCGAGCTAAAGAATATCGAGCAGGAGAGGCGTAACTATCTCGCACAGGCTTTAAAGTATTACCTGAAAACACTGCACAGCAGCGAGGAACACAATCTGCTCATCTTTCGACTGGTGGCACTCTGGTTGGATAATATGCTTGATAACGAGGTGAACGAGGCACTACTGGACGAGCTAGACAATGTGCCCTCTTTTAAGTTCGTGCCGCTGGTGCCACAGTTGGCCGCCCACATAAGTAACGATCTCAAGCACCAGAGGAGCTTTTCCACACGGATCTTTAGAATCCTCGAGCGATGCGCTCTAGAACATCCATATCACACGTTGCCCGTGGTGCTGGCGCTGAAGAATTTACACAGCGACCCGGGAACCACAGTTACGAAGGAAGAACGTCGCGTACTGGGCGCCAAGAGGCTCCTCAAGCGATTGACCGAGTCATCCGTACACGATATTGTCCAAGAGATGGAGATTCTGTCGCGGGCACTATTGAGTCTCGCTTACTGGCAACCCAAGGGCAAGTGTAACTCCGGAAAATGTTCGATACCGCGAGATCAGTTGATATCCAAGGTAGCTTTGAGAAAACATTCGTGTAAATTGCGATTTTCAAAATCTGATTGATTGATTGATTATTTTCTCCAGGTTAGGAACTTGGACAATGTTCTCCTGCCGACCCTGACCTTACTCGTGAGACCGTCGGGTAATTATGACAATGTAGTCGGCATAAAGGCGTATCGGGAGACCTGCGAATTTGTCGGCGGCGTGACCGCGCCTAAGAAAGTCATCTGCGTTGGCACCGACGGTGTACAGCGCCGACAGTTGGTCAAAGGTAAAGATGATCTACGGCAGGATGCGGTGATGCAACAGGTGTTCACCGTGATGAACACGCTGTTGCGCACTTGCAAGGAGACGAAACGGCGGAATTTACGTATCAGAACGTACAAAGTGGTGCCGCTGACGCAGAGGTCGGGCGTGCTGGAGTGGTGCGACAACACGGTTCCCATCACGGCGACCTTGGTGGGCAGTTCGAATGCGATCGGTATACACAAGAGGTATTATCCGCGTGACCTGACTGCAGAAGTGGCCAGAAACAAAATGAAGGACGTCGCGGAAGAGTCGAACGAGGCAAGTGACGTCCATTTTTGGAACATTGATTAAGATTCTTTATGTTCTTATTAAAATTCTTGCACACTCGGTGATTCTGTTCTTAAAATTTTCTTTTTCTGTGCTATGATCTTATCCAGATGAAGTTAAAGGTTTTCCTCGAGTGTTGCAAACGCATGCGGCCAGCGTTCCATCACTTCTTCGAGGAGAAGTATCGATCGCCTGAGACTTGGGTCGAGAGGACGCTCACGTATACGCGCAGCGTTGCCACCACGTCCATCGCAGGTTACATTCTGGGCCTCGGCGACAGACACTTGAGTAATATCCTCATCGACGAGCGCACCGCTGAGGTAGTGCACATCGATTTTGGCGTGGCTTTCGAGCAGGGCAAGGTTCTACCCCTTCCCGAGACCATTCCTTTCAGGTACAGAGGATTTGAGAAATTATCGCTTTATATCTTATCTTCATTCGATTATCGTTATTACATCAGCGTATATTTGCTCTGTCGTAGATTAACCAGGGACATCGAGGTCGCCATGGGTGCTTCCGGCATTGAGGGGACCATGAGACGCAGCTGCGAAGTGACCATGACAATGCTGCGCGATCAGAGACAAATTATCATCACCCTTCTTCAAGTCTTATTATACGATCCGCTCTTCACGTGGGCCATCACGCCGGAGAAAGCCTGCAAGATGCAGAGTGATGTCGTAAGAAGTTATTCGGAAAACAGCGGACGAGGTAAAGGAAATTAAGCGAGTGAGAAAAAAATATGCTGGTCCATTCAGCATAATCAAGAAACTCTAAACTCTTTTACTAAGAGAAATTGTCTAGAAAGATCATGCTATTATTAATATTATTTTTAGCTCTGAATTTAAAGCATCTCGATTATTATACTAACATTTTAAAAATTATTATTGTCGCTTTTTATTTATATAATAGATCTAGAATATCACATATGTAGATTGTTCGCTAAACAAAAAGTATCTCAATTCTTCTAAAAATATATAGGAGGGTGTTCACGAGTGATGGGCCAGGGTGATTTTCTGACATACAATATTTATACTTTTTTTTTCATACTCTTTGGAAACACGTTATTTTAATTCGAATCAGGACATATTAATTGCAATCTCAATTCACTATTAATCTTTATTTGCTTTTTAGCATCCGTGGAGACCAATAAGATCGCCAAGAGAGCTCTTTTGAGAATCGAACAAAAACTGCGAGGAACAGAGGATGGTTTAGTATCCAGCGTTCCGGGACAAGTCGAGAGACTGTTACAGGAGGCACGAGATCCCGCAAATTTGTGTCGGGTCTACTGTGGTTGGCAACCATATTTGTAAATACCAATAAATAATTCTTTTATATAAGTTTTCTATTTAGTTTAAGTTATAATGTAACTGTAACACATTCGACATCTCGTTTTTTACATTAAAATATTAAAAGTTAATTAAAGTTATGGTTACAGTTTTTTAAATAAATTTTTGAATTAATAAAGTTAAATAATTAAAAGTTCCATATCTGCGTTGACCATTTCAGGATCTGTTGCAGCAACTTCGAGAAATCAGAGCAAATCGAAATATCGAAATTTAAGATTTCGTTCGTAAATCTACTCGTCGAAATAAGGTAGCCTTTGGACAATATTTCACTTGACAAGCGAAAATTTTCTCAAACGTACTGATTGGCTGCTATTGCAGTAAATTTTTGGAATTCTAGTAATTTCTTCTTCGACGACCAATCAGTGCATTCATACGGCAAATAGTATCATTTCTTTATTGTTGATTGGCCAAACGCTATTTTTTACTTAACGAATAGATATATGAATCTATGTATATATATTGATATTGATATATGCTATATCACATTGAAAAATTTATGTGTATTTTACATTCTGAACAAAGTGTATATCGAATGGCAAAGAAATATGCAAGAGGTATAATAAAAAAAAAGATTGACAGAAAAGTAGATTCTCTTTACCTAGAATTTTGAACAAAAATACCTGGAAGATCAGAGAAAATATTCAGGTAACTTTTTACCAGATTCGATTAGACACCATGAATAATCTCATAACAACAAATTTCTTTCTCTTCGTCGATATATATTTTTTAAATCAATTAAATTACAATTCCAGAAAGAAGATAATTCTTTGATAAAAAGTGTATATATATACATATTTATCCATTCATCTTTTACATTCTGAACAAAGTGTATATCGAATGGCAAAGAAATATGCAAGAGGTATAATTTAAAAAAAATTGACAGAAAAATAGATTCTCTTTAGAATTTTGAACAAAAATACCTGGAAGATCAGGGAAAATGTTCAGGTAACTTTTTACAAGATTCGATTAGACACCATGAATAATCTCATAACAACAAATTTCTTTCTCTTCGTCGATATATATTTTTTAAATCAATTAAATTACAATTCCAGAAAGAAGATAATTCTTTGATAAAAAGTGTATATATATACATATTTATCCATTCATCGACGCGGGCGCCGGATTCTTCTAGAAATAAATTGCCAGAGTGACAAGTAAAAATGCAACGCGCGAGACAGATATTAACCCGGATGAGACGGCAAAGTCCATTCTCGCGAGCGCGTTCCTATTCATTTTCGTTTCCGAGGAAAAAGAGCGCGCGCCGACTCTCGTTCTATACCGCGTAAGTAGGTGTATATAGATGAATACATATCATCGTCACACATACACACATACACCACGTCCCACGGCTCATCATCGATTGCGCGCGATCTGATCGCTCGTAGAGTTTCTCCGCAGATAGGCCGTCGCGATCGTCGCGTTGGGTTTCGCTCCGTTCTCGTTTTCAGCCTCCTCGAAAACTAGTTGGCGACCACGAGCTGAGAGAGAGAGAGAAGTAAACGAAATAGAGCGAGCGGGAGAGGGGGCCAGTGGGATAGGATCGAGTGGGCCAGTCAGTCGGACACTTATCGGCCGCCATCTTGCTGCCAGCGAGAACTGTGACAGACGGGCCTGTCTGCTCTCTGAGCGAGGTGAGAGAAAGAGAAAGAGAAAGAGAGAGAGAGAGACAGACAGACAGAGTGAGGGGGTAAGAGAAGAAAGAGAGAGACGGCGCGGTCCCTTCATGCGGTACGGGCGCCCATCCCGTCGTCGTCGTCGCCTACGAACGATCGCGGCCGAGAGTAGTTGAGGGCAGCTGAGGGTAGCCTAAGAGTAGTTGGAAGCAGATTCTCTTTACCTAGAATTTTGAACAAAAATACCTGGAAGATCAGAGAAAATATTCAGGTAACTTTTTACCAGATTCGATTAGACACCATGAATAATCTCATAACAACAAATTTCTTTCTCTTCGTCGATATATATTTTTTAAATCAATTAAATTACAATTCCAGAAAGAAGATAATTCTTTGATAAAAAGTGTATATATATACATATTTATCCATTCATCGACGCGGGCGCCGGATTCTTCTAGAAATAAATTGCCAGAGTGACAAGTAAAAATGCAACGCGCGAGACAGATATTAACCCGGATGAGACGGCAAAGTCCATTCTCGCGAGCGCGTTCCTATTCATTTTCGTTTCCGAGGAAAAAGAGCGCGCGCCGACTCTCGTTCTATACCGCGTAAGTAGGTGTATATAGATGAATACATATCATCGTCACACATACACACATACACCACGTCCCACGGCTCATCATCGATTGCGCGCGATCTGATCGCTCGTAGAGTTTCTCCGCAGATAGGCCGTCGCGATCGTCGCGTTGGGTTTCGCTCCGTTCTCGTTTTCAGCCTCCTCGAAAACTAGTTGGCGACCACGAGCTGAGAGAGAGAGAGAAGTAAACGAAATAGAGCGAGCGGGAGAGGGGGCCAGTGGGATAGGATCGAGTGGGCCAGTCAGTCGGACACTTATCGGCCGCCATCTTGCTGCCAGCGAGAACTGTGACAGACGGGCCTGTCTGCTCTCTGAGCGAGGTGAGAGAAAGAGAAAGAGAAAGAGAGAGAGAGAGACAGACAGACAGAGTGAGGGGGTAAGAGAAGAAAGAGAGAGACGGCGCGGTCCCTTCATGCGGTACGGGCGCCCATCCCGTCGTCGTCGTCGTCGCCTACGAACGATCGCGGCCGAGAGTAGTTGAGGGCAGCTGAGGGTAGCCTAAGAGTAGTTGGAAGCAGCTAAGAAGAGTAGCCTAAGAGTAGCTGGAAGCAGCTGATAGTAGCCTAAGAGCAAGTGGAGAGAAGAGGAGGAACAATCGGTTGCACCGATAATAAAACTTTCGAGTGTTAAATATACGCACACACGCGTGCGTACGGTATCGTCGTCGCCTCCTCGCTCGCGATGGCAATGGAGACGCCGAGGGAGCGAGAGATCGCCGCCGAGGATAGCATCAAAGTGGTCTGCAGGTTCCGACCGCTCAATGACTCCGAGGAGAAGGCCGGCTCTAAGTTCATCGTCAAGTTCCCGGCCGGGGGTGACGAGAACTGCATTTCCATCGGGGTATGTGAGATGAAATTTCTGACGTGAACGATCGTCATCGTCGTCGAAAGACAACGTCTGACGATCCCTCGGGATCCTCCCTTCCCCCCGTGGGTGTTGTATATACAGTTAGATAAACGAATATGTGTGTTGTATATAGATACATGATGAAATTATGATTCATGGCTTTTTTAAGGATCATGGGGGGAAATCTATTCTGTACTATATTAATATTTTTTTTAAATAGCTTGAATTATTGGAAATTATTGTTTGCGACAACTACAGCTGATGTGCAATTCAATATATTTTCTATAATTGAAAAATATGGTATTATATTATTTAGTTACTATTGTTATTTTATGCGATAGTAATTAAAAATATTTTTTCAACATTTAATATTGCTACAGTAATTTTATTTTGTACTGCATTAATTATTTTTGTTGATGGTTTTTTTATTTATTAAAAAATATTGCACATATATAAAGAACAGCAGTGGAACAAGTTGACAAAATACTTTGTAATTTTTAATTAAATCAAAGTATTAAAGATTATATTAATCTGTTGCTTATCGCACATGTAAGCACATATTTTTCAATAATTTGAGATATTTATAAATGTTACCAAGAAAGTACAGAATGATGGAAGAATACAAATTTGTTGAGAACTTAAAACATATAATAATTAGATGAATGAAATTTTCATCTCTTGTATTGATCTTGTATCTTGTAGAAGCATTTCAGTAACCAGAAATTTACATAAATATTTTTTTAATATAATTTTTCCCTTCTTTATTATATACATTTTGTTAAATATTTGTAATAAATATATTACAATGACTAATAGAGACAAGTGTCAAGTTTCACGTGTTACATATTTAATAACATTTCGATGATAAAAGATAAGCTTTGTTGATTACTCAATGTTCCCAAAATAAATAAATTTTTTGCAATATATATGTATATATATCGATTTCAGGGCAAAGTATATCTCTTCGATAAAGTATTCAAACCAAATGCTACACAAGACAAAGTCTACAATGAGGCGGCAAAGTCTATCGTCACGGACGTTTTGGCAGGATATAATGGAACCATTTTCGCATATGGTCAAACATCGTCAGGTAAGGGATCTTTAACTGCTTCGAAGGCAATTATTACAGAACATAAATAATAAAATATGTGTATTTTACGCACACAGGTAAAACGCACACGATGGAGGGAGTCATCGGCGATCCTAACAAGCAGGGTATTATCCCGCGAATCGTCAATGACATCTTCAATCACATCTATGGCATGGAGGAAAACTTGGAATTCCATATTAAAGTATCGTACTTTGAGATTTACATGGATAAAATCAGGGATCTTCTCGATGGTAAGATTGGATCCTATGTTTGTGCTCATTGATAAATTGTGATATTTTAACAATCGCAATATCTGTTTCACCCAGTATCTAAGGTTAACTTAAGCGTACACGAAGACAAGAACCGGGTGCCGTTCGTGAAGGGCGCGACCGAACGTTTCGTTTCTAGTCCCGAGGAAGTGTTCGAGGTGATAGAGGAGGGCAAGTCGAATCGGCACATAGCCGTGACCAACATGAACGAGCACAGTTCGCGTTCCCATTCCGTTTTCCTTATAAATGTCAAACAAGAAAATCTGGAGAATCAGAAGAAGCTCTCCGGCAAGTTATATCTCGTTGATTTGGCCGGTTCGGAAAAGGTGAGGTCGCGTTTAAATTTATATGCTTCTTGTGTATGTTGTTCTATCCCATTATTATATTATTGTATTGTTCCCATGCACGTTACAGGTTTCTAAAACCGGTGCCGAAGGAACGGTACTTGACGAGGCAAAGAACATCAACAAATCCCTGTCTGCGCTGGGTAATGTAATCTCAGCCTTGGCTGACGGCAATAAGACTCACATTCCTTATCGCGACTCTAAGCTAACAAGAATCCTGCAAGAATCGTTGGGTGGTAACGCTAGGACGACGATCATTATCTGTTGCTCTCCCGCTAGCTTCAATGAATCGGAAACAAAGTCAACTTTAGATTTCGGTAAGTTTATAGTTCTTTTCTTTTGTCGTGAACGATGACACACTGCTCGGTGGATTTTGTGGAATGTATGTTGTCGAACAGGTAAACGTGCCAAGACAATCAAGAACGTTGTATGCGTGAACGAGGAATTGACGGCCGAAGAATGGAAACGTCGTTACGAGCGCGAGAAGGAAAAAGTGGCCAGATGGAAGGGCAAGGTAGACAAATTGGAAGTGGAACTGTCACGTTGGCGGCAGGGCGAGACAGTCAAGCCCGAGGAGCAAGTTAACCTAGTCGAAGCACCAGATGTTACCACACCAATCAATGTCTCCGTCGAAGGTAATGATGATAGATTAGATAATTAATAATTTATATAAATTATGAATTTATTTCTTTAATTCTTTATCTTGTAGGCAAACTGGACGATAGTCCGATGCCTGCCACTCCCGGCGGCGGTCTCATGATTGGTTCTCTCTCGAACGAGGAGAGACAGAAGCTCGAAGAAGAACGCGAGAGGCTATATCAACAGTTAGATGATAAGGACGAAGAGATCAATCAGCAATCGCAGTACGTCGAGAAGCTTAAGGAGCAGATGGATGAACAGGAGGAACTTATCGCCAGCGCGAGGCGAGATTACGAGCAGCTGCAACAGGAGATGAATCGAATACAGCAGGAGAACGAGAGCGCTAAGGAGGAGGTGAAGGAGGTACTGCAAGCACTGGAAGAGCTCGCCGTCAATTACGATCAAAAATCGCAAGAGGTAACTATTTTTGTGAAAGAAAAGAGAGTTCTATCCTAAAAAAGCACATGGACTTTTTTTTACTTTTCCCCAATTTTAGGTCGAGCTGAAAAATAAGGAACAGGAATCCATGGCGGAAGAGCTGCTGGCTAAACAAGTAGCTCTGAACAACACTGCGTCCGAGCTGCAACAGTTGCGCGACATGTCAGCCCATCAAAGGAAACGTATCGCGGAGATGTTAGCGAATTTCTTGAAAGACTTGGGCGAAATTGGAGTCGCAATCGGTGGCGAATCTAATGAAAATCTAAAAGTAAGGATATATTGAATCCCTGGGTGGAATAAAGATATCTAAAGCTCAGGTTATTTCATAGTTATATGCATTTTGTTATTCATTTCACGATTTTGTTAATTATGATTTCGAATTCAAGATTGCTCCACCGGAGAGCAACGGTAAACTCGAAGAAGAGTTCACGGTGGCGCGGCTGTTTATTAGCAAAATGAAGTCCGAGGTGAAGAATTTGGTGCAGCGATGTCAGGGATTGGAAAGCTTTCAAGTGGACTGTAACAAGAAAGTAAGTAGCGGCACTTCATGTTGTCATCATCAGTCTCCCGATTAATCTTCGTTTTATGTAAATGTTCCATAGGTCTCCGAATACGAGAAGGACTTGGCCGAAGGTCGGCTGTTGATCTCGCAGCACGAGGCACGTATGCAGACGCTGGCGGAATCGATGAAGGAGGCCGACGCACGCAAGCGGGCTCTGGAGGAGGACGTGGACGCGTTGCGCGAGGAGTGCGCCAAGCTGAAGGCCGCTGAACAGATGCAAGCGGTCACCAACAAAGAGAAGGCCGAGGAGAAAGAGGCGGCGACAAAGTTGCGAGTGGCCCTGGAGGAGCAGATGGACCAGTTGAGAGATGCACATCAAAAACAGGTTATTATTTATTTGTGGAACAACTGCTAACTTGTGCGCTTGTCAATGTTTCATTTTCTTTTAGATTAAATGATAATTCTCTTGACCTTTTTAAACGCGCATGTTTGTAATTCTTATTCAAGGTCGCTGCCCTCCGAGACGAGTTGTCCCAGAAGCAGGAATTGATCAGCGAGCTCAAGGACCTGAATCAGAAGTTTACCTTGGCGCACCAGCAGATGCAGGCCGATTACGAACGGTTGAAGCAAGAGGAGGCTAACAAGTCCGTCAAGCTCCAGGAACTTGTCCTGTTGAACGAGCGCCGAGAGCAAGTACGTTCAAATTCAAAAAAATGTGAATGAATCCGTTGTGTAAAATGAATTTTTACGATCACGTCGAATCGATTACAGGCGAGAAAAGATCTCAAGGGACTGGAGGACACGGTAGCCAAAGAACTGCAGACCTTGCACAATCTGCGTAAATTATTCGTCCAAGATCTGCAGACTAGAATAAAGAAGACCATTAGCGCCGAGGACAACGAGGACGACGGCGGTTCTCTCGCGCAAAAACAAAAGATATCCTTCTTGGAAAACAATCTGGACCAACTGACGAAGGTACATCGTTGTTAATTTACGACATATTAATATATGTTTTTTTTTCTTTTTTTTCTTTTTTATTAATACACGTTCATATTATTGTAGGTGCACAAACAACTCGTCAGAGACAATGCCGATCTTCGCTGCGAGCTGCCTAAATTGGAGAAGCGACTGCGAGCGACGATGGAGCGTATCAAGGCTTTAGAGACAGCGCTGCGCGACGCCAAGGAAGGCGCGATGCGGGATCGTAAGCGCTACCAGTACGAGGTGGACCGTATTAAGGAGGCGGTCAGGCAAAAGAATCTCGCGCGTCGTGGACCGAGCGCGCAGATCGCGAAGCCGATTCGTGCCGGTCAGCATCATTTGAGCAATGTCAACGCCATTAGGACTGGCAATCGTGGTAAGGAGTAATAAACTTTTTGCTTCCTTCGCTATAAGAGTCGCGTCAGTTAAAATCGTCAGCAATATCTCTTTTTTTCGCAAACTTCTCGCGTTTTATATATACAATCATCTTGTTTCTTTTTTCTTTTAGATTTGTTTAATTAAAAACTATCGTGTTGCACGATTGTTTGTTCGATTTTGCGTTTCAAAAGAAAGAAATTATAAATATATATCTCTTTTGTTTATATATTCAATGTCTTAACAAAATATTGAATATGCAGTACGTATTCTTTATTGTAATTTTTACAATTAGTAATGAAAAGATGAAAATTTTATGCAAGTGAAAAATGCTTATCTTACGAAAAATGTTGTTTTTTTTTTGTTTTTTTTTTTTCCTCCAGTACATTTACACATCAAGTACTTGCAACGTAAGAAGCTTTGTGTTTTTTCTTCCTACAAGTGAAAAACATTAGAAAACACATGCAACAAAAGAATTTATTTTAAAAGTTGTACCAACAAGATCTTTAAAATTTTCTCTTTATCTAGAATTTTAAACGAAAATACCTGAAAGATCAGGGAATTTTTCTTACAAGATTTGAGTAAACACCCTGACAAAAGAAACGGATAAAAACGAACAAACTTCGCGAAGCGTTTCTTTTTTTTTTTTTCTTAAGGTACGTTATCGATCGCGCATTTCTTTGCGTAGCGTGCTATTAATTATTTATTGAAACGTTCTCTCTCTCAATCGTGATATATCATTTTCTTAACCGTGATTAGTTAATTTCTCGCTCTCGCGAAATATGAAATTCTGAATGATCAAATGTTACTTTGGAGATATTTATTTGTTTTCCTCTCTGTTTTTTTTTCCATGTTCCTGATCACATACACACACACAGATATGGGTAACAGCGTACAGTGATGATCGTGATCGCATAATGCCAAAATACCCTTCACTTTTACAGAAAACGAATGCAAGAACGCTTTCATCGACGAAAACAAAAGAATTCCAGCGGCTCTTATGTATAATGGATATGCATAAATGTTACAATTATTATTACTATATTATAAAAAAATAAGGGCAATAGTACTATATTATCCGCAAGGAGAGCACCGCCAGTTCTTTAAATTTTTTTTTTAATTTTTTTTTCTCGAAGCAAGCATGTGCTTAGGTATATATAAGATAAGAGTGCATTAAGTTACATATACAGAATGTACGGTAATAACTGTAGTGCAGGTAGAGCGAGTAGAAGTCCTCTACCATTTTGCAGTTTTTTAAAATTAATTTCTCATTAATTATTGCAAAAATCGCAAAACCACGGATGAGACTTTTCTACTCGGTTTCACCCGCTCTACTTGCACACGCGAGATGACGCGGTTATTACCGAACATTTTGTATATACGCGAGCGCTGCATGTCCTGTCGATGTGTAAATAGGTAATTTTTATAAATTATTTAATTTAAAATGTGTCACATATATGCATGACGATGATGATGATAATGGTGATTCGATAATAAAGCGAGTGTTTCTCAATCTAACGAGTGCGCGAAGAAGTTTCTCTCGGAATATTTTTTACATTGATCAGTGTGTTTCTATTTGCATCGCTATTTCTCTCTCGAAAAAAAGAGAAAAGAAAAGAAGAAAACGAATACCGTTGAAGAATCGTGTCCCAATCCTCGTTATCTTGAAAGAAGCAAAGAATACTTAAGACGCCTTTAATTCAGAATCCACCTGATTAAAAAGACGATCGGACATGCGGCTTCGAGAGCGAATGTAAATGTAATTATGGCTTACACACGAGTATTGTCATAATCGTAAGAAGTCTTTCTCTCTCTCCCTCTTTTTCTCTTTCTCTCCGCATAACTGATAAGAAGGCTCTCTCGCCGGAGGGCACGCTTGACCAAGCATGTCAAGCGTAGAATTGCTTCTCCAGAGCGTTCCCGTTTCAGAGCCAGTATGTATATGTGTATGTATGCATGTGCGCGCGCGTTATTAGAACGAGAGAAATTTATGAGGAACTTTTCGGAGGGACAGGAAGAAACTAATCCATCGTTTACTTCGCACTTTTTCGCCGACTATTTCTAATCTTGCAAAAGGCTCTTTTTTTCTTGCACTAATGATTAAAAGCGATCTTTGCGAAACGCACAGTGTTGAGAGAAACCTTGGAAGTCCCTCTTCCCTTCATCTCATATGCCCTGAATTATCCGATTGCGAGAGAGCCAACCCTAAGGTTTACTTTATTATTACGTTTCTGAAGAAAGAAGAGAAAAATAGCTCTCCCATCGAAAAATTTCACGCTCGTTTTTTTTTTAAACCTAATTTAATTCTCGCATTATCTTTTATATATATGTCCGGTTTACACGTAAAACTTATGTCACTTGTATATCTGTTCTTCTCAAGGTTTCTAGAATCGCACACGCGATACTCTCGACAGTATCGTTAATCGAGATAAGATACAAATTTGGCATGGCCTCTTACGCATACTCGTGCATTTTTCTCTCTTACATGACATTTTACAATCTTGCATTCATTATCGCTCTTGAAAAGATCCTCTCTTCAGAGAAGAAACGGATAATTTTTTTTAACTTTACGCAAAAGTTATATATATATATATATTTTTTTTTTTCGCCACATACTTCCTGCTCCTGCCCCTCTCCCTCCCCCTCTTTATCTTTCCTTAACTTTTGTGATATGTAACTGTATCGAGAGCAAGGAGCTGCGTTTTTTCTTTTGCTATAATACATAAGCGAGAAAATAACCGACAACAAAGAGTGTGTGTGCGTGTGTGTGTGTGTGGTGCATTGCGCGGGTGCAATTATCGTTGAACTAAATATTTTTGTGTCGGATCTATATGTAAATATTATACGATATATTATATATATATACATATATATATATGTATGTATCACGTGCAAACCGCGCTCTTGTAACACCGTTCACATTAATTTCGCGATTAAACGAACAAGGCGGAGGCGGAAGGGAGCGTTTCTTAGTGCACGATTGTATTTATCGCAGATATAATAATACACACTTATATAGTGTTAACATCTCTTCTCTCTAAGGCGCGTCCTCTTTAGATGCCTAACCGATGAATGTATTTTCCCGAATCGAGAGCTAATGTAACGTGGTTCATCGTGCTGTTTCCCCTCCCATCTTTGTTTCTCTCACCTTTCCTCCGTCGTTAAGAAGAATAAAATTAATTCTCGATTCTCCCAATTCTTCTGTCACTCATTTCCTTTTTCTCTCGCTTATAAGTCTGAAGAACTGAAAGAATTTGTGTAAGAATTGTGTAGATATCGCCGCCGAGAGATTCTTGTGATAATCATGATCGATTCCGTTATTACAATATGTAACGTGCGATAATGTAAGAGCACCAGGATGTCGGGGCCGACGGATTTGACGAGCGCGGGGAAGACACGATAAAAGCTATTAGCGTTATTATTTTCCTAATATCTTGGGCGTGTGTTCGAAACACTGCACTTATTTACTGCAAAGTCAAGTAGGCGAATTGTAACGATTTTATGTGCACGCGCAGTCAGTTACTGTTGAAGAGGAGGTCGATCTACAACCTGTTTCTTTGTCTCTACGATGAGAGCGAACAAAATAAAAATTGAGATAAAGAAAAAGAAAAGAGATAAATCGTCGCATTTCTCGTTTCATTGTGAGACAATTCAGAGAATAGATTCTTTAGATTTACAGCACAGATTTCCGAAGACAGTTTCGTGTGAATCCATCACACGCGATATATTTCCTTCCCGCATCTCAATAGATCGAGTTCAGATCTACCTCATCTGAAACAGAACGCATAGCTAACGAGATAGAAAACAAATAAAAACGCATAGATGCAATTCTAAACATTTTCCTAGACTCTAGGTGGTAGTAGATTTGTATGCAGGGTGTAGAAGAGAGGCTGTAGCTACAAGGTACTATATATATATTGTAATACAATATTCTCCTCGGATTAAAGAATGTAATTTTAAGATATTATGATTAATATTCGATTTTATCGAGAGATGAGAATGCTTACATTGAAAAAAAAGAAAGAAGAACGCAGAAAAAAATCTCATTAAACGATTGTATTTACCTATTTATTTATTGTCGCACCGTCGTACTCTATCTCGGCGAAGTAATCTCCGAAAAAAATATATTTATAAAGTAACACACACAATAAAGTATATTATACATAAAACATCTCTTTATTAGTAACGTCCTAAATTTAATCATCCTACGCGGACGATATTGAAAGTCCAACTTTTTGAGAGAAATAGGAATATATCATCTCTCTCGATCACGATCTACGTGTTATATTTTCGCACTTGTAAGATCATCTTTCTTTTTCTTCTGCATATCTTGTCAAGGGGATTTGGACAGGATTATCTTCCTCGTACGAATAAAACTAAAAATGGACACGTCTTCCGAAAACTATTGTAAAAGAGTTACTGTTTTATTCTCGTCTCGATACAATTGTACAATATCGTACATATCAAAACGTACAATAATCGGAATACAATATAAGTAACATTATTACAACAAGTTTTCCTAGTCCGTCAGCTAAGAACAGGCAGATGTATCACATGTGCCTGTCGATAGAGCGCATTTTCTTTTTTTTTTCTTTTCACATACGAAATTTTTTCTGTTTTCGGCAGTGCGTGCACAATCGGTTTCATCGATAAATAACAAGTACGTATAGAAAACGGGAAATCTTCAACGCTTAAACAAATATCCTTATTTCTTTATCTTTAAAGATCAATATACGTACATCTTTCACTAAAGTAATAATTACTGCGCGTAAGAAAATATTTGCACATCGCATTTTTTCCCCAACTAATTTTTTACAATTTTATTTATCATGAGAAAAAATGTTACGCCACATAAAGTACTCTATTTAAAATATATACATTAATACAAATGAAAATAATGTATTCTGAGATATTTTTTTTGGAATGAGGAGGGAGAATAAAAATTATATGTTAAAGAGAATGAGATGAGCAAATATCTCCCGCGTATTTCAACTTTAACGAGAATACGCGGATGTGTTTATACACATTTGCAAGATAGAGTGAAGACTGGCGGATATGTTGAAGCAAGTATCTGTAGCAAGTACATCGGCAGTGTGTAACGTCAGTGTAACAGTACTTGACGCGCAGAAAATTGCGCTTGTCTTCTTTTAATTGGCAGTAGTGTAATTGTTTCATCTCAAAGTATTCGCATGGTGAAAAGATACGTATCACTTATCAGACTCGAGAGATTGAATCTTCAAAATTTATGGAATCTTATTGTGTAAAATTATACGCGAAGAAAAATGAGAAGAAAACATCTCTCAAGTCGGATTGACCGATCGGACTCGGCGAATACTCGAGGATTAAATTAGCGTTAACGATCACATTAATAGCTATATACAGAGTGGTCCTCAAGTATGTTCCGAAAATCAAAGAAGTAATTCTAAGGAATTATTTCTTTAATTTTCGGAATATACTTAAGGATCATCCTGTATAACAATTGTAAAAATTACAGTGAACACACAACAACCCGGCACAACGCGGCGACTCGTTAACGTAATAATGTAGCGCACAGCACTATCATGTTCAATATCAGCGAGCCGCAGAGCAGCACGGAGAGCCAGCCGGAGCTCGCGACGATCGTTGTTGTTGTCGTAGCGCTATGACTTGGAAATGCCGATGTCAAATCGCTCCGATTGCCAACGTTCGCCTCGCGAACGTATCTCTCCTGTTCCTCGGCTCGCGACAACTGCGGCGAATTATTCGCACATGGCGTATGATACGACCACCGGATAGCGTCAGAGACGACGGAGCAGCGATCGAGCTCGTGCACGGACGGCTCGCGGGAAGGGGCAAAATTGGAGGAACCGGCCGATCCGAAGCCGGAGCTCTGGCTAGACGATCGTGAGAGCGTCAGCGGCGTCGCGGTCATCATATGGCTCTCTTGCCAGTAACCACCAGCTACCCATGAGGTCTGCGTCACCGACCTGAGCTTTGGCGGCGACAGAACGTACCTCCTATTGGACCCAGACTTTTTGAACAGATTCTCGGAGCTCGTCGCACTGTATACTCTCCGCTCGAAGATCGCCGGCGCCGCTTTCGCAGTATTCTTGCCGCATCTTGGCGAGTCCTCGCTTAGGAAGAGAGTGCTCAGACTGTGGTTCAAGCTATAGCCCTGCAGCGGACTGTTCTTGTTCTGAGAGACGGAATTTATATAATTATTGTTGCTGTTGTTGTCCGCAACGGTAATCGTAGACAGCTTTTGTCTCAATCTAAAGGTAAATGAAAATACATATAATAATAATAATAATAATAAAGATTAAGTATAAAATAATTTACTGATGTTCACGCATAATAATAAATACAATTATATATATAATAAATTGAATAGAAGTGTTTCGTTTAAAGATAAAAGTCAACATAGAATACTTGCATTGCTGAATGCGATTTGATTTCAGTGGAAGATACTTCGCCTGTTATACAGACTGATGATTCAACAGCATTGATTGTTCCATTAGAAACGTTGTTTTTGCTTTCACTATAATTCTCTAATGTGGATTGAGGGGTAATCGTAGACAGCTTTTGTCTCAATCTAAAGGTAAATGAAAATACATATAATAATAATAATAATAAAGATTAAGTATAAAATAATTTACTGATGTTCACGCATAATAATAAATACAATTATATATATAATAAATTGAATAGAAGTGTTTCGTTTAAAGATAAAAGTCAACATAGAATACTTGCATTGCTGAATGCGATTTGATTTCAGTGGAAGATACTTCGCCTGTTATACAGACTGATGATTCAACAGCATTGATTGTTCCATTAGAAACGTTGTTTTTGCTTTCACTATAATTCTCTAATGTGGATTGAGGTGCGACAACGGCTCGCGAACGCAACTTGAGCTTCTTCAATGCAACTGAACCGATTAACTTATTTTTATATGAAATAGGTTTTACACTCAAGAAACCCATAATAAATGCGCATGCTTCTATCTGAAAAAGAAAACAATAAATTAAATATTCGTGTAAAAATATATTTAGTGCCAAGAGATATTTTATTGCATTTAGCTCACTATGCGATGATATACGATGTGCTCCGTCGTAAGCCAGACATTTTGAAAAGTTGAATTTTTGACATACACAAAGATAATGATGCAGAACCATAAAAATATCAATAATACGTCGATTTTCTTCCCCTTTGCTGAACTTGCCCAACAAGCGCACAAGTGAAAGAATAATCCACTGATCGGCAACCATACAGAGTCATGATTGTATACGATAATCGGGATCAGGATCGTCGAAATAATTCGGGAAATTGCTTCCAATTTTCTTTTCTGGAAATTCTGCAAGAGAACTGACAAACGATTATTCGTTGCAATGATTACGTATGTTTACAATAGCTTCTAATTATGTATAACTTTTTTCAGTTGAAATATATTTCTTAAAAATATATACTTACACCGATAAGCATCCTAATCGGTTTCTGCCGAAAAAATAACATTTTGTAACGAGTGAGCCATAATGCCTGCCTACTCAATACGTTCCGTACTGTCAATTTGCAATTGTCGCACAGCGGATATTTGTTCTCCAGATATTCCTTAAATCCTTTCAGCTCGACATTGTAGCGTCTCTCACTCTTCGGTTCAAAATTAGATAACTCCAACAATTTTAGACTTTCTTGCTTGTTACAATCTACACAGAGATGACTCTTGGAAACATTGCGTGAATCGCTCTGTTCGACCAATCTGCAGTATCTTGTAGACATATTCGGCGTTGCATATTGTTCTGGGATATTGTACGCATAATCACCATTCTAAAATAAGTATTTCACATAGCAATATTCTGAAGAAACAAAAAAATTCTCTATTGTACAAGTATGCAAATAAGAAGTGAAAATTGGAAGTACAGATTTCTTCAACCTGTTTTTACCTTGGAGAAGCCGTTGTATTGCTCGCACCAAGGGCACAACCACCAATTCAAATGTTGCCTCCAGATCTTTGAATTCTCATTGCAGAACCAGCAATTCACAATTACAGGCCATCTCACTCTTCAAGATACATATTTGAAATGTTAGTTATATCTCAGAAAACGATACAAATACACATAGTGTTCCTAAAATGACTATTTATTTTGATGAAATAAGAGATATTTTTAAAAATTGTTATACTAGCATAATGATACATTCACTGTTATACAAATTTATTTAGGAACACCTTGCATATAAAAATGTACATGATATGCGAGTATTTTGATGAGTAACTCACTTTAGCCTGTGGAAGACCGTGAGACACGTAACGAGGATTAAAAGCGCTGGAGCGAGCGCGGATACGCGATCGAATGCTAAGGATTCAAGATCAGATCCCGCCATCGTGTTCGTTGATAAGAGCGCTAAAGTTAAGAAGTACAACGAATGTGCGACAACGTTTCTCTAAAAATCTGCAGATCTCGAGATATATATATACATATATATATATATTTTTTATTACTGCATTAACTGTATGCCGCGTCTCCCGCCAAGCGTACGTAGGGCGAGCACGCCATAACCTGAAAGATAATCCCCATTTCCTTCATTTGTACGTTCAAATGGAACATTGGCGGTGATGGCGACGCAAGGCCGTCTCCTCGAATCTCACCGATCGTCGCACGTTGATCCTTCTGCTGACGAATTGTTATTCTAAAATCCTAAGCAAATACGTCCCGTTGTCACGTTGCACGCGGCACGTGCCGAATGCCGAATGTCCCGACCATAGACTAGATATATAGATATGTAAGCATATCTATTATATATTATGGCCCCGTCCGTTGCCGCATCATCTAGTTTTGCGTCTTGCATAGTAATATCAGTTATTACTATAGTTTAGTGATTTGTCTTTTCAATTGTGGCGATTTTGTGGCTAGGAAATTTTCTAATATTACCAACTTCATTTAATTACTAACTTCAATCTTGAACAAGAACCTAGTTGCAACAAAGAAAAGAAGAGAAAAATATAAATATTTATAGATTATTATATTGTTACATCGACAATTATATTTTATTAGAAATTTTTGATTATAACACGGTATGTATGAGAATACAATATATATTTAATTATTATTGTTAAGCTGGTTATAACTTTTTTTAAATTTTATTTATGTATTATGATAAATGTTCAATTTTATCCGCTCCACTTAGATTTTGACAAAGATACACTTTTTCGATGCTTTTTTGGATTGATAACCTAAGGTTTGATAAATAAACATTTCTTGATATAAGGATAGATAGATAGAAAGAATAATAAAGGGTGTTAAAGATGTAATTTTTAAGGCTAGGAAACCTGTCATATATTGATGGAATAAAATGATATAAGCATATATATATATTACATACTTAAAAAAATATATATATATATATAATTTAATTTATATATATAAAATAGTTATAATCAATTACATAGTTCTAGATGTGTCATTGCATCTGTAACTATAATTGAAACGTAACTATGACTTAAATATTTGTTTTTGTTTTAATAAGTAATTTTTATCAAAATCTAAGTACAGAGTTGAAAACTAGACATTTTCCTAAATCTTTTCTTAAACTCCAAGTCCTCAAGTTTTTTTTTTCATATTTATATATTAGATATCAAAACCAATCAATGTTTTATAGCAATTTGATATATTATTTCCATTTCAGGTTAACATAAAATATTATTAGGAAAGTATATATTCTCTTATGTGAATGCAACGATTAAATAACGCAGTATAAAGGGTCTATTTAATAATAATGAATGAAAACAATACAATGTCAAGCCACTCGCAGGATATAATCAATATGCAGGAGATAATAGAATTGGTGAAACTTCTTCGCCAGAATGGCGACAAGATCTTGAGTGCCTCGAGCAAGCTTTCACTATCAACAAAATTACTGCATAGTCTCAATGAAGCGTTCTTGCTGATTGTATTAGAATCCGAAGATCTAGATTCTTCATTTCAAGTGTGCAATAGTTCCAAAGTAGACATATTTCGTGATATAAAATTTTTACATGATTTTGTGCAGAAAACTATAAGTTTGAAAGTGACACATTGTTCTTCTGATGATGACAAAATTATCATTGACATCTCCAAGTTTAGACATCTAAAATATTTGGAGCTAAGAAAGGTATCCATTGAATTATTGAAAGGTTTACAAAATGTCAGGGGCCAGTTGGAAAGCATTGTGTGTGCTGGTCAAAAAGGAGTATCTACAATCTATCAATTACTAGGTTTGTCAAGTATATGAAATAGAATTTAAAAAAATCAAGTAACAATAGACAATATTTGGTTCCATGAAACAAATCAGTATATTAGTTATAATAAATAGATTAATTTTGGAAAGATACATAATCAACTTTAACAAGCTGAGATGCTCTTGTCACTAATATATATATTATCTGATATTCTACTTCTATATTCTCTACTATAGCTGCATGTGGAGGTGATGCTGGCATTGGGTTTGTGTGGGCATCCTTGAGACATTTAATATTGCCTCATAATGCTCTTGAATGCTTGGATAAATCATTAGAATTGGCTCCCTTGCTTCAGATATTGGACTTAAATCATAATATGATAACTAGTGCAAAGGAGATATCTTGCTTATCAGATTTGAAATATGTCAATCTGGGCTATAATAAACTGGAAGAAGTACCTGTATTCAATAAGGCAGCGTTACATTCATTACAAATATTAGTATTGAAGAATAACTACATTGACAATCTTAATGGTTAGTTATTATTGCAATAATGATATTATATTACTTAAAAATATTATTATCTATAAATTTAATGAATTATCTATTCTTGTTATCATCAATTTGTATAACAGGTCTTCAAGGTTTAGAATGTTTGACAGAATTAGACTTATCATTTAATTGTTTAATGGAACATTTGGTCCTTTGGCCACTCCAAAAAATGCCTACTTTATTGTGGCTATCTTTGGAAGGAAATCCTTTATCGTACCATCCAAAACATCGGTTACTGTCCATAAAACATTTACATCCGAGTTTGTCAGATAGCAAGGTATTTGCATGATAATAAATAAATCGAAAATTATAAAATGCGCAACCAGTATCAATATTATAATTATTAATTATAATATGACATGAGTTTGAGTAAACTCTGATAGTTTGTTTTAGATCGTCTACCGCTTTCAAAGTCGGAGAAGGTGTTTGTAATGGAAAATCGAGTTTTTACGATACGCGCGAATCAATCCATATCTCTGACCAGTTCAATGTCCACATGCGTCGATACATATGAATTCAATGAAAACGGATCAAATCAGCGAATAACATCATTTTCAGAGAATTCAGAAAAAAGCATAACAAAAAGTAAAAAAAAGTCAAATATGAGAGAAGCGATTATCGATGAAATTGATCAAGAAAAGGGAGAATTTAAGAAACTGCCCGATGTGGTTGCTTCTTCTCATTTGGGTAATTGTACCAAGATATATATTTTTATTAATTTTTATTAATCCAATAGTAATAAAATGTATAATTTTAATAATATAATATAATCGAACTATTATGTGTGTGCGTGCGCGTATGATAAATGATTGAGACATTATTACAATAATTAATAGAGTAACACCCAAAAGGTATGGTATATGACAGAATAGCGTATATTTTTTGGAACATATTAACTTATTCGTTTTTCTAGAGTCATCAATGGATCATTTGGAGACGAAAAAGCGCATCTTAGATTTGCGAGAGAAATTTGGTGAGAATAATTGGCTGAGCAGTCATGCGGGGACTTCCGTTCAGGATATTATGGGTCTTCGTTTTGAGCAATTTCCAACTTCACAAATATTTAAGACCTTGGCTGACATCAATACATCATCGTCTCTTCATGATAACCTAATTCATACCATGTTTAATGAAAAAGTCAGTGAGCCTGAATCACAAGAAATTACAAAATATACGGAAGATGACAAAGACATTCTTCAGAATGAAGAAATCTTAGACGAAACGCATACCCTGGAAATACATATGGATCATTCTATGGCTTTAGATGATCCTAATGAAGGTGCAAGTTGCATGAAATATAAACAATGTAAACAATATTGTCAATGGCGGAATAGATCTTAAATTCTTCTTTTTCTTTTTTTGTCTTAGAAGCTGGAGATTTATATACTGTTCAGAAAAGGAAAGATGATAGTGAGATGGAGACTATATTTTTAATGATAACCCCCGAGTAAGTGTCATTGTTCTGCTATGTCAACAATTATAGCAGAATTGTACTTATATTCTTAGGTTACAGCATTTTTAATTATTTATAAGAAAAATTTAAAATTATAATAAATGCACCTTTCTAGAATAATAAAATTGAATCTTTTTTTCGCAACTTTTGTAGAAATATCAAAGAAAGGGACTCAATTACTGGAAAAGTAAAGTTTCATTGGTCGATGAGTTCAATTCTATCTTGCGTCTTAGGCAAGAGCGATCCACCCACGGTCGATATTATTTTTGATACTACTAGAAAAGATAGAAAAAATAGGCGATACTTCGCGGAATTGGAAGATGCAAAGGTACTGAGAAACATGTAAATATTATTTACAGTGTATACAGAATGGGACATTTAATGTATTACAAGAAATTCAAGATTATCAATTCTTTTTTCTCCTCAAAACAACAATCCTATTTTCAGAAAATTGTGGCAATCATCAACGAGCAGATTGAAATGCGGCCAATATCGCTGCAGGTTTTTAAATGTATGAAATGCTCAACGCAATTCTCGCAGGATGCGGAATACGTGACGCTTGTTAAATCGATGACGGGTTAGTATTACGACGAAGCGGTACAGTTTTGAAGATGATTATGAAAATCATGCTTCTTTTAGGTACGAAACAACTCAAGTGCCCTACTTGTAACAGCAGTTTGGTCATCGAAATAGAGAATTCATCTAGTATGGACAATCAGATTACGAAGAATCAGCTAGCAGAGAATTCTGCAAGAATCAACTTGCAACATTCTGAATCATTCTCCAGTATTGGTGAGATTCTTTATGATTATAGCATGTAGCATTTATAAGAGTGAATTGACGAAAATATGTACGGGTTATATAGTTCTCGATATTGCACTGAAATTTGTTTGATAATATTGAATATATATATACAGTATATATACAGGGCGTTTCATAAAGCAAGACGTTTTCTTCCTTTGCATTAAAGAAAACATTGCATATATTCTCATAACTCGAATTAATATTTTGATTTTGAAATTTATTTATGAATCACACTGTATAACTCGTGCAAAGCATTTAATCATATTGAAATTGGCCTGATAATTAACTTGACTTTATCTAAAAGAATGAAATATTTCAATTTTGATAATCCCGTTAGTTAATCGAATGATTGCGAATGCAATGTTCTAATGATAGTTTATTGTGTATGTTAATATGTGTGATATATACATGTACGGCCAACGCATGTACGAGCGCGCGCGTTTGAATCTTACTACATTTAATGGGAATTATAACATACTAATACCGGTGCAGGTGGAATGGAGGGTGGAGCTAAATCCGTCACCACTTCTCTGGTACACTCCGACTCTCATATCCAAGCTCAAATCTGTTGTAAGCTTCAGCCACGATAATTATGTTATAGCATTCTCTACTTCCTTTTTCTCTCTCTTTTTATTTTCTGCTTTTCCGTCTCCCCCTTCTCTCGTTCCCATTTGATTTCCTCCCTCTATTTTTTCTCATTTTTTTTCTTCTTTCTTTCTCTGATCCTCTCTATCTCTTGTCTTTTTTCTTTTTTTCCTTTTGCCTCTTTTCATCTCCTCTCTCTTTTCTACCTTCTTTTTTTCTCTACATGTATATATTCTTTGTGAATTATTCAGCCGCCGGAAATTGAGTCTTTCCTTTCTCATCTTCTTGTTTAAAAACAATTCTACAGTTTTTAAAAAAAAGTCCGGCGTTTGAACCAAAGCCATTTCTTTAATTAAAAAATTTGGACATACAGTATTATTCTTTTATATTACTCTGTTTTTAACTTTCTTCTCTTAGGTGCTACAAGCGCCTAATTTCTAATCTTTATTTTTAAAAGTGTATAATGCGTAACTTATTAAAAGAAAAACTATACATCTTTGATTTAAAATTTCTTTAATTCATATATATCCTTTTTTCTTTCTAAATTTCTAGAAGACGCAACGACGAAACATTACTAATCTTTTTTCCGAATTAATATTTATCATTGTCAGGTTCAGCAACAAGTTTAGAAGGATCAAGGGAATCCACGCCGTCTACAAATGCCCTGACGAAGAAATACGAGAGCGACATAGAGATACTCAGCAATCCGAGTCAGAGTAGCATCGAGGTTTTAGATGAAACGCTAAAGTTAGTATAGTTGTATTTATGATACTTAACGTTTATGATAATGTTCTGTACAATACACTTGTTACACAAACGTAATAAGAAATGATTATTAAGATATCATCATCTTATTATCTACTTGTCATCACAAGCCATCATTACATGTTAGAGCTAATATTTTATTGTGATATTCATTGATACAGGGCAAATGCCACGCCGAGTCGGAAACAGGAGGAAAGACGTACTGCGATTGCTCCTTCCTTAATAACAATTCCAGATGCGACGCCAGTGATGGCAGGCTTGACGGAAAGCAGTTCTTCGGGTTTGTATTCTATCATACATTTTCTATTATATATAATTATATATAATTACTATAAGTCATTAAAGTGTGTATTATTTCATTAATATAATTACGACTCGTATTTAAATCTTTTTTTTTATGAAAGTTAAATTGATCTATTTGTGAAAGAAACGAATAAAGAATTAATTATATCATAATAAAGAATTAATTTGGAACTTGTTCATGTAATTGCATCATAGATATGGCATACAAATAATTTTCATTTTCATTTTAATATGATAATTTGTAAAATCAGTTTTATTTACAGGTTCCCTGACAGATAGCATATGCACGGCATATGAAAATAAAATGGCCAAATTAACGAACGATCCTATAGCAAAATCCTATAGTAGTGAAAAGGACATTGCTCCCGTAACAAACTTGACATCAATGTTGGGAGGTAAAATCAATGAATCCATAATCCCATGCCATTGTGTAATATTATTAAAAATATATTTGATCATATGAGTAAAATAATCTAGTAAAGACAAATGTTTTTCTTCTGTTTAAGTTTTAACTTGATTTTTGTCAACACGCACACACACACATAATCCTTTGGAATCATTTTTCATATTGTGGTATAATATTTAATATCAATATTTGTATAGTGTTTGTGTATTGTTCTCAGGTTTACTTCAAAGTATCAAGATTGGTAGCAATAAAATATTGAGAGGCGAAGAGGCTTCAAACTTTTTCGGCAGCGATGTGCAATATTCGTATACTGATTTTAGTAGTATAGATCACAGAATCAAACTGCACATAATTTTAAATATATTTGAACATGAGAACGAAGAGGTGGTATTTCTTCTCAAGGTGCTTAACTTAATATAATATTTGTAATTTTATTAATTATATAGCAAGCCTAAGTCCAAATTTTAATAGAATAGAATCATATAATTGATATTATATTTTTGTTTTTCATATTTAGGCACAGATTTTGATGCATTCTATGCAAGAGACATTTTCTGGATGCTTAGTATTATCTACATCTAAAGTTTATATTCTTAGAATTGATGGGCCAGAAGGGTAAGTGCTGCTTAATATAAATTTTCTATTTAAAATTTTATAAAAAATATCTTTATTGGAATTTTAGCATAAAATTTTATGTGGATATTTTAGAGATAGAATATTTCAATGAAATATATAAAAGAAGAAAAATCAATTTTTTTACTTGTTAAGGTAGATTACTCTATATATGATAGAAAAATCTAAGAAAATTATGACAAACAAACAAAATTTAGATAGAAAAACCTAAAAAAAATAATGAATAAAGAAAAAAAAAATACGACAGGGAGGATCCACAGCGTTGGCTTCACAAAGAGATGAGTTGGACAACAGACAGATTAAGATCCTTTATATCGCTGCCATATAAGCAGGGTATTTTGATTGAATTACAACAGCCTAGTAAAACCAGTGAAGAGCTTTCCACTATTACAGTGCTGTGTATTCTGCAAGATTTCCAGAGAACATCAAACTTTTTATTTTACATCACAGGTATAAAATGTGTTCTAACAACGATAAATATAGCTATTAACTGCAGAAATCTCAGAGTTAGGACATCACATATACAACAATAACTTCTAAGTTGTGCTTATGATGTTTTCTGTTTACAGATCTGCAATTGCCTCCAAGTTGCGAAGTGGAATTTTCAGTCCCAGAGTATTTTAGCATTTTAATGCATGATTTATTAACGAGTACTGCCAACTATAAGACCGGAGACGTCGTACGACTACTAGCAATATTTTCCTCTGCAGTTTTAAAATATCAAAATGTTATCACAAAGCTCAAACTATCTGGGTTAATATTGACGGATGCAATATTAATGATACTGGAAGACAATGTTCAATGGCTTATACCAGGCAGTGATCAAACGCCTGTGATTGCTAGGGAGCAAACTATGAGTAATTTGATTGCAATAGTCAGTAATTTTCAACAATTTCTATTTATTATTTTTTAGAAAAAAAAAATGCTAACTATTAGAATTTTCAACTGTTGCGCTCTATACGGTTCTAATTAAGAAATTCTATTTTTATGCAATCTTATTTCAGAATAATTTTATAAGTGAAAATGCGTAAATTTATATCCCAATATAAAATAATTTGCAACTAGCATACAAATTATTCAGTATATTTATCCATTTGATAATGCATTAATGATATAATTTTAGGAACATTGCCATAATTCATTGACTTTAAATTTCTTGGACGAGATCGCGGGACTCGAGGAGAGTTGGAACTTAGAATTTGTTTCTCTTAGTGCTGTTGAAGCTGTAATCAGTTCTATACAGCCTTCCTGGGAAGAGTTATTCTCAATACCTCTACAAGTAACTACTACAAGCAACTCTCGTGCTATGCAAAATAATATGGAGGAAGCTTAAATAGTACATAAAAATTAAATCTCTTATTGGTTTCTTTTGTTTAGTTGAAGAGATTTCAACTATTTTTGTCTTGTATATAATCAAACCTCTCTATTTTTAGTATATCAAAAACAAATTTTTTATTTTTATCATGTTTACTTAATCATCTATTTCAATGATACATACAAAATGAAAATGTCGTTTTGATTATATGCATAATAATATTTTCATATTATGCATGTGTGAGCAAATGGCAAATATGAAGCAATAAGATAGCACAGGAAAAGATATGTCTTTCTTCCAGATATTAATTTATTTAATTCAGTTATATAATTAAAAGTAAAATTTAAAGAATATTACATATACATATATATACTTTTTAAGAAGGCTTTATTCAAGGCCATATGAGTATGTTCTTGCGCTTGTATACAATTTAGATTTTTTGTATTGAATTTAGCATTGATTTAATTAAAGAAATTGCAGGGATATTTTGGAATGCTATGAAATGTAGAAAAATAATTGATGATAAGAGATTATTGATAGGTTTATCAATGGTGCTACAAGGACTGCAATATTATTACCTGTAAATATTTTTAATTGAATTTTCTCTCTTTTCATACTGAATTTGTAACCAAAGTTTTACAAAGAATATTACGAATTGCACATAATCTTATTTGTACATCACATGAATCTGTGTTACATATTTAGTAATATTAGTTACTCACATCTGATTGTAAATGTCCGACTGTGATATGTATATTTTGAATTTTACAATAAAAGGCAAGACTCAGGTATTTACTGTAGATATTTATATCGCGAGGATATTGTAATGTATATTTTGTAACAACGTAAATTTAAAAATATAACTATGATCTTAAAGCATGCTTTTTCCTCAATTTTCTCTCTCTCTATATATATATATATATATATCTCAATTTTATTATATTTCTGTTATTAATTCTGTTATTATCTTCTTTCCAAAAGAAAACAATGAAATGTCCCATTTTAGCTTCTTATGTAACAAAAGAGACATCTTGCTATTTTTGTATTATAAGTCGCATCTGTAATTCAAAAGATCACATATGCAGCTGATAATGATATGCACCATTGCATATTTAATAGATATTCATTCTCAAGATCCTATGCAGCACCAACAAGTTTTTTTCAGTTATCTATGTGATCCCTTCTATGTTATTCCTTCCTCGTCGTTCCTTACTCGTCTCAAATTATCAAATATATATCAAAGTATATATTTATATTCAGAACAAAATTTAACGTGATAAGATTGTAAAAAGGTATTAAAGACACTCATAAAATAACAAAAGTAGACAATTAATTAAAAAGCTGTTATTTGACAAGATGCAAACTTTAATTTATGAATTATAAATTATTGTATATCACAAATATTGAAATTATATTTTCTATACAAAGAATTCAGGAATGTATATCCTACAAGTTATAATAACATTGCTCACTTTCGTCGTTATACCGAATATCAATGGTTTCGGATACAGTAAAAAAGGTATGTTTGATCTTCATTATCTTGCAAATTATTCCAAGCTTAATGTCATACAAAAAAATTATAAAAAAACTTTTTCTTTTCTTTTTTCTCACTTTAGAAAAGATAAAATCAATTCTGAAATAAGAAAACATAAGGCTATTATGAATACAAACAGCGTTTCATACATAAAAAATTACACCTTCTTACAAAGAGTTGCAAATTATAAGTATAGATTGATGAATAATCAGAGATTTATAAAATTGATTACTCGTCAAATAATGATTGACCGACGAATACCGATAAAAACAATATTAATGATTATCATTTTAGGACAACATTTATGGCCGCAAAAATACAAATTGTGCGCAGGAAAGCTGCAATCACCAATAGCTATATCCACATCCAAAGCAATTCCTTTACCACTTCCAGCACTTGAAATGATCGGTTATCATGACTTTCTTCCAATGCCACAAATATTTGCAAACAATGGACAAACTAGTAAGTATTCTCGACTCGTAAAGTTTTAAAATTATAGTTTTCTAAAAGTAAATCCTTTCTTTTTTAAGTTAAGCTTGCTATGAATAAGAACGTAACATATGGGAGATTACCATATATATTCGGTGCTATATTTAAGCAAAATCAGCAATATGAAATGGAGCAACTGCACTTTCATTGGGGCACAAAAAATAATAGGGGAGCTGAACATCTGTTAAATGGTATAAGGTATACTAGTCATATTTATTTATAAAAATGCAGCAACTCCCGGTTGTAAGATTCTTAAAAAAAAAAGAGCAATTAAACATTAATATGTGTAGATATCCAATGGAAATGCATATTGTGCATCGTAATATGGCATACTCGAATTTTTCACATGCATTGCAGCATGAAGATGGTGTGGTCGTAATAGCTGTTTTCTTTCAGGTGAGAGATTTATAACAAGCCTCAAAAGAACAACTTTACAATGTACTTTATAATAATAAAAAGTTTGCAAAATATTATCTTCTGTATAATAAAGTATATTTATACTTTCTTAAAAAATTTATGTTTAAAAACTTGATGTCTATATAATCTCCATATAAAAATCTCTCTCAAAAATTATTCTCAGAGATTTATCGAACCGGAAAAAATCTATAATTAGATGTAATCATATATTTTCAGTTGCAAGATGAACAGAACGAACTTCTTCAATCTCTTGTAAGCAAGCTACCAGACGTGCAATGGGCACACTTAGAACTATCAGTTAACATATCTATAACTCTAGCATCCCTGATACCATTGAATACTGATATCTATTATATATATAAAGGATCTCTCACCACTCCGCCTTGCAGTGAAGCAGTCACCTGGATAATCTTTGCCACTCCAGTCCCAATATCTTTTCGTCAAGTATATTATTTATACTATACACTTTAATTGCATTTTATTAAAGATATGCATAACTTTCTGTGTTTTTAAAAACATATTAACAATCTTAAAAATTTAGAATTTTGTTAATTGACATAATTTCTCTTTATTCTTAACTATTTTATGATAACATTTATATTTTGCAAAATGATCTAAGTTTTGAATTAGTGAAATCTGTATATATTTGCAATATGTTTATAAATTATGAAAGAGAACTTGAAAATGAAACTTATGCATATCTTTAATGTATTTTTCCATTTTGGGACATCGTATATAAAATCCATTTATTACAGATGAACACATTCCGAATACTTTCGAATGGGGAAGAAATATTAGGCGATAATTTTAGACGCTTGCAAGATATTGGTCAGCGTAAGATATATATTAGAAGATTGGTGCAATCTTTCCCACGGGTGCCGTCGGGGCTCTCGATTAAACAGGATGATTCGCGATGGAATTTCTCGAACTTAAGTTGGTTTTGGTCATAATACAGTCGTGATAAAAATAATAATTTTCTTTTATCTAAATATATTATTTATACTAAATTTACAACAATAAGAACTGTAAAGTTTATTGTAACAAAAAATTTTTTATATAGAAAAATTTTCTTGTCTCTTATTCAATTCTCTTATTCATTCATTTTTTTTTATTATTCATCAGATTTTACAACATAAAAAATATTTCTTAACAAAGGCATTTAATAGTGTTTTTTATTGTGATATTGATAATAGAATAATAAAAATAAATGTTTAACAAAATACAAATAATTACTTACACGAAATATTTCACACATGGAGTTTTCTGCATGCAGATGCTCCTAATCGGATGATCATAATCCAAGCTAACAGAGAAATAGCATTTTCATGTTGACATGGCCAGCTCAGGAAATCCTGTATCGGCCATAATGCACCTTCTGATAGAATAATTACAGGTTCTTTTTTATACATATACACAAGTGATAAGATTAATATTCCCTGAAAGCATTATAAAACTTGATAAGAGCCATGAACAAATAAATAGTTTTTTGGGGTATAAGGATTTTGATCTTTTACTGTAAGAGTATTAGATTATAATGTTAAGAATAAAAGTTATTAAGAAATGAGAAATCGTACAAATTTTTTTTTTTTAATATTATACATTAATTAATGCACACCACTAAATAAAGATTTTTATTGAGTATACCAAGCCACAACATAGGAAAATTTGTACAATTTCTCAGTTTTAATGCTATAATCTAATAAAATTACAATGAAGGATCAAGAGCCTTAGGGAAGCAAGTGATCTACATACATTCAGTATACGAAAACTGTAAGTTAACAACATTTGCAGTTTCAATCTCCAACTCAGTCGTTGATCCACTGCAAAAAAAAATATATATATAGAATATATCGCAAATATAGAAATATATATAGCATTTTGTGTATAGCTTTTAATATAATAACAAAATATATTTTGTTTTATAGATAGATAGATATTTTAATTTCCCCTAATGTTCCCCTACGGATTACAAACAATATCTGTTTTCTATTTTATTTATGAAACTGATTGTTTTTATAAGAAATTATTTGATTCTTGTAATCTAATAATTCATAAAAATTATAGGTAGACTTATAAAAATAATTCCCTATATTGATATAGTGAAGAAGAGAAAGAAATAAACTTACTGTTTTCTTTCAATATATTTTCCAATTGGTTATATCTGCGTTGGAGTTTGACGTATTTGGCAAACTCGTTCATTATAGAAAGTCCTGCCATTTCCTCTTTTAAATTGCTCAGCTCATTTCGCAAATCAATATCATACCTCCTTTGCGCAAATATATGTGGAAAAATCTATATTTTACATAATAGAACTTTGAACTATGAAATATAGAGCAGCTTTATAATTACAGCCAAATACATAACTAAAATATCTAGATTTATAAAAATAAATACAAAAATTTTTGTAAATTTTAATGTAAATCTTTCAAGAATTCATGTATGAAAGGTAATTTATTAGATTTATTGATGGTTTCTTGTTTATAAATTTTTAATAATAAAAATCTAGATTTACATATAGATTATAAAAATCTAGATTCATATAGATAGATAGATTCCAAAAATGAAATATGTGGATTTCAAAAATACTCACAAATTTGATCAAAAAGGGGGCAATATTATCCAAAATGCAACTTAAAGTAGTTACCACAAGTAAATTCATATTGAATAATAAACAGTAATAAACACTCCGAGCTCTATAGTATATTAAGTGAGAGAACTTTCTCTATATCCTATAGAAAATCGGGATCAGAAAGACAGTTATATTTTTGGTTGGATTTCTGTCTCTCTATTTACATTTCTCATTAGATATTTAGCAATAAAAGTGATACGCAACTTCCAAAAGAGAGAGATGTTTTGTTTTTATTTATCAATTTGAACTGTGGAATTGGAAATGGAATTGTGAATTATTTATTATTCTTTCAATTCATAAAATATACAAAGAGAAACCTAAGCGACATCACGGTCCGGTTTCAGGCTTATCAGGTGATCTCTCAAAATGATACGCCCTCTGTGGACATAGAAACGTAAACATTGAACTACGTAGCCAACGTCCACGAATGTTTTCAGTGGGTAACGCATAATGTACATCACGTGCACAAAAATATTTTTTGATAGCACATTCAAAATATCTTATTCAATATTTTTATTATAATCGATCAATCAAACTAATTTAAATAAAAGAGTACTCTGAGCTTAGACTATAAATTTTTTTAGAACTTTGATGTGACTAGAGTTGGGAAATATATTAGACATGTGTTTAAAGCTCTCTGCATATATGTATAAATTTTATGTATCTGGAAAACGTTTGTATGATAGTTATCAATAGTTTTGCACTTTCAAAATTCCTATATATATTTTACATTTAATGGAGTATATGCTAAGATTTTTAATTAAAGTCGCTCGCATTTTCTTCATTAATAAATATTTGCTGACATGTTCTTATATTTAATCTTGTATTTTTACTAAGACTTTATACATGCTTTTTTATGATTTTTTTCCTCTTTTATATTTTATAAGAAATGATAATTAAGTTAAAAAATCTATGTTATCTTTATAATTTAACATCGATCTAGTTGCCGAAATATCGAGAATATCCCAAAATATTAATATCTGTTGTCACATAGATATATATTAATTAACATATTTATCATTGCATAGACATATCTTGATTTTTGTAAGGCGAAATCTATATCACAATTCACTTCTCAACAATTCTCGTTTAGCAGTTGGTATTGCATCCTTAGATTTAAAATGCCGTCTTTCTATCTTGTTATCAATTTCTAGCAATCTAATAACTTTATAGTATTTGTGAAACTTTCTCTTAATCAATTGCGCCTTCTTTCGATCTTTCTTTCTATCAAGATCAATGGTAGAACCCAAAATTAAATGAATATCTTTGATATGCTCTAATTTAAAAAGAATGATTTTACGTTTATTGCGTGCAACTTTTTTATCTAAAAAATTTAAATGCCGTCTTAGCTTTCTGTAATCTAGCAAAAGTTGCTCGATAATATCTAAGCACAGCCATCGTATTCTAGTAATACATTTATCTGGCGCCTCGCCAGTTCCCGCTTGACAGATGTTGATCAAAGCTTCGATGTGGGAATCACCGTTTAAGTTCGCTAGCACAAAGTTCAACAAGTTCGGGATAGTAATAGGAACAGAAAAGGGAAATACAGTGCTGTCCTCCTTCCTAAAAAATTTTAGTCAAAAATAAATATTATTAGATATTGAGATTTGTTTTTAAATAATACTAAGTGCTTTGTATGAACAAAAACCGTTTTTGATGATTAAAAAGAAAAAAAAATATAGAATAAATAAGACATGTCTTGATCAAGATTCACATTTTGAAGCACGTTAATAAAAATGACATTCAAAGAAATTAATGACTAAAAATTGCTTGATGCATAATTAACGCACCTCTTCGCAGGAAAAAATAAAATAGATGGAAAGCGATTCATGCTGTATTCCCATGGTAAATCGTTATTGTCCCCATCAATTTTTACAAAGATTAGATGATCCATATTGGATAAGTAATACGCCACTGTTAAATATACATATGATATAGCACTACAAAATCCACAGTAAGGAGAGTAGTACATTACAACGACATCCTATAAAAAAAATTCGATTATGAATTGATTTATCATAAAGTGCGATAATTAGCAATGAAATCCATCCATCAATATGTAATATCAATATTTTAAAGTATTAATATATATTAAAATATTTTAAAGTTATGTTTTATTGAATTATATTATTTAAAGATTGAAGTCAATATAGATATTATTTATTGTATATTGTTATATATTTTATATTGTTCTCATTGCTAATTATATGATAAATGCACTGCGTAACTGACCTTAGATGGATCTAAAATAGTGTCCAAAAATGTTTTTGTTGTTAATTCTGATATACGAATTTTGGAATAAGAATCTATATTATTGTGGTTTTTCTCATTATGTAATTTTTGCACTCTATGGTGTTGTGGATTGCTTGAACGTAATGTTCGTTCTAGCAAACCTTGTGTATAATTGTTTATGAAATTGATGAGAGTGTATTCGCTGAAATCATGATGCATGATGTATTGACTTTCTAGCTGCAACATAAAAAATAAAAAATATTACAAAAGAAATAACACATGCAATTTGTAAAAAAACAAGAAAATTTCAAAAAGCGATGGACTAATTTTAAATAATAAAAATTTATGATGCTCCAAGCATGTTTAATTATATTAAAATATATTATTAAAATGTCTTTTTATCTCATCTTGAAGCTTACTGCGGCATCCAAGATTACAACAGTACTTTTATTTCTTCGCTTTGAAATATCAATCCCAAGATGTTCTGCAAAATGGGAATAATGCAAACTATCAATAGCTATTAAAGCTAGTGTCTTGTTGGTTTTGCAAACCAATTCTTTTAAGGTGATATTAAATTTCTTTGTAGAATCTTGCGGAAATAATGATGGATAATAATCATTTCCAGCCAACCATCTTTTGCAACTTTCTTTTAAAAAATTTCTCTTTACAATGCTCGCAGATCGGGAATCATTTTCTTCCTTTAATAACGATGTTTTATACTTCATATCTGTATGTAGCCTTAAAACAACAATAATATCTTCATATCTTATCATTCATAAACATCTTCTGTGCATGTTTATTTATAGAATTTATTAAGTAAGTTATTATGAAACAATATATATAATTTTCTAAAATATATGTGTTCATATATATAATTAATGTTACCTTTTTAATTTTGACTTTTCCTGTACTCTCATTACCATGTAGTTCTTGTTATAATTGTTTATTTGCTCCTCGTATTGTCCGATCATACTAAGAGATGTGAATACATCAGTATCTTTACAAACATCACCAAATTTTTTAACTCTGTAGATCTCCTTTTCTAATAGATTTGTCGCCTTTGTTTTGCATAAAGAACACTTATTCATCGCCACATTTGCACAACAGCTGTTATTAATCCATTGTTGAATTGATATGGTAGTAATAGATTCCTTTACTTGTTCTGTATAGATTTTAGTCTTGTTCAGGAGATGGGCACATTCTTGATTTCTAGACAAATGACGAATCATCGCTGTACTTCGTTTATTTTCCAGACGAGTGATTATATCTTTTACTAGCATATTATCTGCACAGTTATAATATTGTAAGCCGAGTTCTCTTATCTGAAAAACAAGAACATTTCGATATAATTTGTTTGATATAATTATTTATCACTTTATAAAGAAATATTTATATATACTTCTTAATTACATATATGGGAGGTGTTCCCTTTAGTACTTCATTTTCCCTACATTTTTCGTAAATAAAGTTAAAAAATCATTATACAGATCATATACAAATGTAATTTTCTTTTGTGTTAATAAATATATATATATTTGGAATATAATTTTAAAACACACCAGATTGTAAATGTAATTTTCTGTATGAAGTGGATTCCGTGGTGTGAAAAGAAATAAGACTGGTCCTTCACGTAGATAAGGTGCAAAAGTGAGCGCTTTGACACCCGGGGGTTGTAGCCAAAGGGATGGTTGATGAATAGAACTGCTAATCCAATTGAGGATATTCTCGGATGTCCATTCATTGTTTTCTGGATAACTCTGAGTGTTTTAATTAAGACTGCTGTATTACGTGCTAAGTGAATAGAAACATTCACATATATAAATACTATACACTTACTAAGGATTCATTCCACATGAGTAAATTTGCTGATGGAAACTTATAGACTCCAAAATGTAATTTACTAGATGATGCACTAGTTACTATAGCAAATACCAGTTCTCTATTAGGATCTCTTTCTAGTGATCGTATTGCAGCCTTATAAAATTCTCGATATCCAGGAGTTTTATCTAACCTTGTAAAATTAAAGTATCCTATGACCACTGCCTGCAAATTTTTAATAAATTACCAAATAATCAACAAAATAATACACTGTCACTAGAAATATTATATATATTGCAATAAGCTATTTTACATTAGCTGAAAATAAGCTTGTTATTTCGTTAATTTACACCTACATCATTGGCAATCAACAATTCTGTTAGTTGTTCTTTGTGTGTTATTCTGACAATGGGATTCATAAGTGCATCTAGGAAATTAATCATGTATGGTGCTGTGCGAATTCCTCTGTAATTGATACCAGATTCTCTGGCTGGATATAGCATCAGCACTGGATAACCATGAATTTTATTATATTGCACTCTGCATTCTGAATCAGGATGCCAACAATTAATGGCTGCAAAGAATATCTAAGAACACAATGAAAGTGTTAATGAATATGTAAGAAAATGTATAAGATACTATCGTCAATCTTGTACCTGTGGATGATAAAACTGAGCAACACTTTCAAACTCGTTACGTAGAGCCTGGCTTTCTGCATCCCAAGGAGCGTAATACATAACAAAACTAAAATCGGCCTGCGTTATCCTTTCGATCATCGCATCTAAATGACCCTTATAGAAATCCAATACTACGGAATTCTTATCAAAGAAAGGCTTTGCTATAGGAGGTTTGGAAACTTTGGGAGGTCTACAAAAAATATTCATGGCAATAAACACTTGCAGACAATTAAGCCACCTACAAATACAGGAATGACTTATTGTGGTCAAGCTTTCAACCAAAAAAAACAAATATACAATATCACAATTGGCTATCAAATAGAAAAGTTTTAAGTCTCATCAATTTTTCTATTCGAGTTAATTGTGACATTATGTCTATACATGTTTCTTGCTGGAAAGCTGTCTGTGTATCCTTGTATCATATCATGTGAATGGCACACGTGTCAAAGGTTGGATATTTAAATACGTAATAGATATGATCTTATTAATCTATGTATCTAATGCTCGATATACATTTCATTTATACGATCACAGTGTGATGATACGATACGTGGGTACACAGTAAGTATAAGTAATATATAATTTGTACATATTTTTTTTAACACATAATCTAAAACCCACGTGCTGTGTAGAGCTGCCATAGCGGTAAAAGTAATCGCGAGGAAAAAGCAGATAATTTCGTAGGAAAACATTTTGGCAGCCAGTCGCTCCTCTATCGCCAGTCTTTCCTTGGCCACGTCGTTATTTGTTGATTCAGACGTGGATGTTGACGAAATCCGGTTTGACAGATTATCGGCATTTCTTGGCAGGGTTGTCTCACGTTCTTCGCTCGACGTCCGTTCATCCATCGCCTGTTCACCACGGCGTTCACAAGGCATTCCCATACATCTTTATCGCTAGAGTCTGAGTTTTCGTTGCTTCCCTTTCGCATAAGAGATTATTTCTTCCTTTGCTTTATTAAATTGCCATCTTCTTCAAGAAACGCATAATGCCACTTGCCACTTATTCGATTCTATTGGCACTGACAGTGAGCTGTCATGGGGACAGATTATAAAGTCCTCTATCAGTCGGCCGTAAAAACTACGGATTTTAATTTTTCAATATTATAACTAAAATACTGCAAAAATTGCATTAAAATCGTGATATTCGTAATTACAATAAAATTGCCTGCAGCTCATTAAAAAGCGATTTTCTTTTAAAAAGAGTCAAAATGAAATTTATTCAAACAATGTGCAGTTTTAATCGCGAGTATGTATTTTATTTATTATAAAATTAAAAACCCCTGAATTGCAAAATCTGCCTTTTTTTTTTAGCAATCTATATAATTATAATGAATATGTCTCAAAAAAAGGTTTCACAAGGAAATATAATTTCTCCGAAGTCAAACATGAAAAATGCGGATATTATTGATGACGTATTTCATTTATTATAATCCTTTTTAGACAGATTGCTAAATCCGGTTCTTCAGCGACTTTTCTAGTCAACTTATTATTAGTAAATAATATATCAAAAAGAAAAAGTTTCTCACATGGAGAAATACAATTTCTTCGAAGGAAAATATGAAAAAGTATACAAAATATTATTCGCGTTCTTCGTGGCGAAAGGGCTATTGCACACGGGACGCGTCACCGTGTTAAGGCTGTTTCACACAGGACGCGTCCTGTCAAAAAGACGACAGGCGCAGTGGCCATATGTTCAGTCGGACAATCGACGCATGCGCACTAGAAACTTGATCTTTCAAGAACAATCAAGTGTCACCTCTATGTATACTTATATTCTATGCTTATACTGTGGTTATAGAGTTCTCACAGTGGAAATAGGAGCTCGGTGCTGCCGGCGTGTGGCAAATCAACAAGCTATTATACCTCTTCGTTTGCGGGAATTGTTGCTCGGTTTGCTAACCGGGTCGCGGTGCATCAGTATCATCGGTTCGTCTTGAAAACTACTCGGGAGTTACTGTTCGGTAGTTGCCATTATTTGTTTTTATTCTATTTTATTTAAGTGAATATATTTGCCTGATGATATATCTTCTTTCTGCAATTGCATATGGAAAGTGGGTCAGTGCTTTTTGCGCTAATTTCTATCTTTTTCTTTTGTGTGTTAATTTAAATATGCCTGTGTATGTGTGTTTGTGTGCATGTGTGTGTGTGTGTGTGTGGATTCGGATTACCATCTCTGAACTCTGAATATGGTAAGTGTCGGATAAAATGTCGGGTGGTATAACCCCCCCCGTTGCAACGACGCGCCCCGTAATTTTTGGGTTACGTGACGTTGGTCATGGAGGAGTGTTGTATGTGCCTATGTGCGATAGATTCCCGATTTAATTTTAGATATACGAGAAACACGAAAGAAAAGAAGTTCACTTGACGATCAGAGATTCTCGCATCGTATTTAAAGCAAAAGAAAAAAAGATTATTTTTTCAAAAGTCGATATTTTTTTTGCATTTTATCTATAAAAATAGAGAGAGATAGATATATATATATGTATGAGGTATGTGTATTCCTGCTTTCAAGAAAATCACTGTGATCTTTGTACAGTTATACGAGTTGACAAATATATTAATGAAGATGGGATTAAAAGAATCTCTTATTTTATGTATATAGCTGTGGACCAAAATTTAACAGGTAAATAGTGTATTTATTTATTGTGAGTATATTTGCAAAAATGAGAAGATGAAGACGTTAAATAATAATAATAATTTATTATTTCTTTTTACAATCTCAATACTTTCACAAAACTTCTAGAAGAGCTAAATCATTGAAATCTGCAAATATTTTTAACATCTTGATAACAATATACATTGTGTTCAATATACAAGCGATTATATATAATTGTTTTATAATTAATAGAAACCTCTCTCTCTCTCTCTTTATAGAATATATGTAATATATATAATATACCTTATAGAATATATGTGAAATTTACATTGAGCTTTGTTTATCAATTATTTTCAATTACTTGAAAATTTAGCTTCTAAAATCTTGTTTTACATATTAAGTTAATACGCATTCTAGTTTTATGATTTACCAATTTAATTCATTTTCCTCTGAAGAAAGTAATTTTTAGTCTATGAAACATAAAGCAATTTTTCATGTTACAGTTTTATAATGCTATAAAATGCATGGCAGAATTTATTTCTAATTCTTTGTAATTATGTATAATAGTATATTTTGATTCTATATTTATTGTAACAGTTGACAGTTTGTAATTTTACAGTGTTACTCATCTTTTCATTTTTGATCTATTTGAAGACATAAAATCTTTGTTATTTATTTATTTAATTTTTTTCTAATATTTCTTTTTCCTTCAAGTTGAGAGAAAAGCACACAGGAGGCTTCTCATGTAGAAGTAATTGATTTTCCATAATCATGCATGCAAGTGGAAAGATCGTGTGTGAGATATCAAGTTAAAGACATGAAATATCATAGACGATAAAGGTAAACTCTTGATACATGATTGTGAAATGTTGATGCATTTTTTGTACTCGCAATTTCGAAAAATAATTGTTTCTATCATTTGCAGAATATTTTGAAAAAGTTTTATAAAGTATATAAATACTGTATTTTTAATGCAAGAATATTTTTCTTGTATACTATCAATTTACAAAATAATTTGCAAGCTTTGAATTAGTCTTATCATTCTATTTAGACAATATTATTTTTATAACAAAAAGAAAGTATATTATATATATATTAAAAATTATTAAACCATATTTGAGAATCATTCATCATGTCAATCTTAAAGTCTCTTTATATCTAGAATATGTGATAAAATTCAAAAGGGTATTCTATTTATAAATTTTATGTGTTGTATACTATAAAAAACATTTAAACATGTAAAATACATCAAAATATATATCAAGATACACATGTATATATTAAAATATGTGACGCATAAAATTATATATAGAATTCTTAAATTTTATCGCGAGTAGATCGTTTGTAGATCGTTTAAAGAGACCTTTAGATACATAGTTAAAGAATAAATAAATTGAATTATTTTATGAGAAATAAATTGATAAACAAATATTCTTTACAAAGTAAATCCAAACATGAAATTCATTGTGTACTATTGAGATTTCGTATAATATATGGAGATGATCTCAATTATTGTTAAGTGCCCCTCTTCTACATATTGTCAATAAACTTTTGTTAAAACATGGCTAAGAAGTCATCTCTTGAGTTTGCATTAATAATATTATTAGTATTCATATATATTTTAATATTGACATTTCTCTTCTAGTGTGATTAGCTGTTTATTCACATAAAAAGTATTTGGAATTTGCACATATTTCTCTGTTAAGATTTCATATTATTAAAAAATGAAAAATGTGTTTTGAAATGTTCAGACTAATTTTTTAAGAATTTATTTGTGAATGTGTGTGATGGTTGGGAACTTTCTCTCTCTCTCTCTTTTTGTCTCTGTTTTGGTTTTACGGTTTCTGAGATGGATATACAAGAAAGTAGTAATGTAAATGAGATCATGTATGAATACATAAATGTATATATATATATATAGTAGAGGAATATATAAGACTGGCGGCGCACGCGCGTTTCTGCGAGTCGATAATACATGTACCATCGAGTCAACCAACTCCACATCGTGCTTGCGCATCGATAATCCCGATGCAAGCATCTCAAAATCGTTAAAAGCGTAGGAGGATTCGTATGCATTTCATTCGCGTTTTTTTTTCTGAAATTTATGGTATTACTAGACCGATTGATATAATCATATCTCAAATTTGTTATATTGTTACAAATAGGATATATATTGACATCTAAATATCAGTTTTTTTTATATAACAGTCTTCTTAAGAAGATTGATATTGCTGTTTATTTCAATCTCGTTTATTTTAATATTATTTGCGAATTATCAAAATGTCTTTGATACAGATATGGTATACCAATTTGGTATGGTTATACCAATTCTGCTTATGAGAAAGCATCAGTATTTCGGTAAATATCATCTCCGTTATCACGATACTTCTACTACGAGATATCAAGTTCGAATATATTGCAGAATTAAGCGTTAATCTATTACCAATTTATTATTCTATTCTTAAACTGCTGATTAATTTCCAGCAAAAGATAAGATAACATATAGAAGCGCGATTTTCATATAATTGCAATTATGTTAATATTTAAGGAGGAACTGCATGTCAAAAGTTAACAAATCTAAATAAATGTATTAACATTTCGAGATTCATGATTTTGACATTGCGCACACACATCCACAAAATATTTTTAGTCTTTTAAAATATAAAATTAATAATTAATTTGTGAATTAAAATAAAAATTTGCCATGCAAAATCTGATTTAATCTTAAAATCGTCAATATTTTATCTTATATCGAACTAACTTTTTTATAGTGTTTGTACCACGAAAATTTTATAGTGGCTGTACACAAAAATTCATGAAAATAAAAATTTTGATTTCACAGGGCAAATCTTTAACTCACAAATTAATTATTGATTTAAAATTTTTAAAGACTAAAAGTGCTTTGTGTGCGCGCGCAATATCAAATTCATGAATCTCAAAATGGATTAGATTGATTAATTTTTGAAATATATTTTGTATGGATGTATTGTCAATATTGTATATTCTTAGCTTTTTCAAACATATATATCTTTATATAATAATAAATTATATATAAATATTATAAATTGCATGATTTTCTGTATTTTTTAGGGTTGATAATAGAAGTATCTTGAATTACGTTCCTTGGGACGAGATTATATACAAAAAAAACAGAAGGGAGAACATCTATAGCGATGCAAGGTGCGTATAATTAATGTTGTTCTTGCTGGATCGCTATGAGGATATGCGTATGCGAAAGAGAAGAAAAAGGGAGCATTAGAGAAAGTTTATTTAATAATGCAAATGACGAAGAAAATGATATCTCTAAAAATGATTCACAGAGCAAGCAAAAGACTTATTCGAGAAGGCTTCGTTTGCTTATAATTCCAGTTGCCAACAATTTCGTTTGTTTACATTATTTTGCCGATAGCTTCGATTATCACTTATATCTTGCATATATATATATA